GGTGCGGGGGGTTCTTCATTTTGAATCACCACATGTGCAATCTTCCTGGCTTCTGACGCGTTGTGATGCGTGTATTTCATGGTGTTGGACGGGGCAAGTTACGGTTCTCTGGCTTGAGTATGGCCAGGCGCATGTGTTACTTTCACTGGGCCCTGCCTGATAAACAACTTAATTGTCACATAATGAACTAAGCTGCTTTTTACTCATTTAACAGCTAATCATAAGTCTCATCCATGAATTAAACATTGATGTAATATATATTAATACCTTTTAGCCCTGCGTGTTATTTCCTATCAATTCTCATGTTGGCCTGGATTCGTAGGAGCAACTGCTCCCTTGTATCACTCTCACTCGGGAATAGGTTCCGCTGTAGAGAAGTCAAGTATCAGTCTATATACGGCTGGGGAAATCGTGGTACTTACAGCCGCCAACCACCTCCTCATTTCCTCTCGAGTCCAAGTCTCGGGATCACCTGTTGGGTCTGGTTCTGCGGGAAACATATCGGTGCCCCATATTGTCCACACGGCGGCCGCAACAACGGCGCCCCCAAACGCTGTGCATGGTTAGTGGTACATGGTGATAAGAGATATAAATGGCTCACCAAGCACCATGTTCTAATTGCAGTTAGCGAATGTAAATAAAAAATTACACGAAATCGTACATCCCGTTCCAAAGTCCACTTCAGTCCGTACCTTTGACCTCATCGCATTGTCCAGCGGTGTTGGCATCTTGATACCGGGTAGATGGTCCTAGTCAACACTGATCTTGTGAGATCTCAACCAGCCAGGACCAAAGCGAGTCGGAATGATTGTGAAGGAAGGATATGCGCTACGGTTTTGTCAAAGGGAAAATATATATTCAGCAGGCTACTTTGGAACGGTGTCTACTTGACGTGATTCGCAGTGGTGACGACGCCCAGGCGAAAAGCTACGTGGCGCATTAATTCCATGCTCGTTGCCTCGCCATGCTTCTCAGTCGGTCCCCTGCGACAGCCACACGCCACGCTTTGGCCCCACTTTGCATGCACCCAGCCTCACGGTACGTACCCGACATTGTCCCCATTGGTCTGTGCGCGGCCCCCGCGAGAAAGCAGCGCACAAAATTAATTCTCCAAAATCCATCGATTCCGCAACTCGTGCCTTGTCAAGACTCTGTACAGACAGACCTATCGAATTACCGCCAAAATGCCTCGTGAGGTCGCCGATATCAAGAAGGTGCGTTTGCAGTTCCTCAATTGCGTCTGACGAATGTGAAAAATTTTTTGTTACATGACTAACGAGATATGTGCAGTTCATCGAGATCTGCCGTCGGAAGGACGCTTCCTGTATGTTTCTTTGCCCGTTGTTGAACGTGCACGCCCGCCCCCGTGAATTACTCGACATTACGGGATATTAGAACGCCCTATTTCCGTGTGTGGGAATTGAATTCTAACTGTCGAAACTTTGCAGCCGCGCGGATCAAGAAGAACAAGAAGTCCAACAACATCAAGTTCAAGGTCCGCTGCCAGACTCACCTGTACACCCTGGTGCTCAAGGACACCGACAAGGCCGAGAAGTTGAAGCAGAGCCTGCCTCCCAGTACGCGCCGAATTGCCCCCTCCCAGACCGTGTTTTTGTCCCGTGAACTCGTTGGGGGAAATTCCCTATCCATCGGGCGGATCGGCAACGGCAAAAATCTGACCCGGGCCACTATTTACTAACGTGCCATTTTGCAGACCTGAGCATTGCCGAGGTTGGCAAGAAGAAGAACTAAGCATGACGATGCGGTAAAGCGAGGAAATGGGCTGCCGGGAGGAAAGCGGACGGCGATGGATTAAACCAAAAAAAAGGAATCTACATGCACGAATGGGCGTCTCGGGATACCTTTGCATTTCATGTGCTCAGAATGCGCGGCACTCGAATAGAGCTAAACAAGGACGATTTTTGAAGCACACTACCAAGAACTACATGTCGAAACGGTTCCCCCCACTCCCACAGTAACAACGTGCCATGTTCTGCGCCGACTGCCAACAACGAAGTGAAGACAAACAAAAGAGGGAAGTATCACGGTATAGATCAAAAAAACTTGATCCTACACGACGTGCCTGAAGCGCCTCTGCTCACTCCCGTCCCCCAAGGCAATCAGCTTCTGCACCGTCCCCTCGGGCACCTCGTCGGTCCAAAACACAACCAGCTCCTCGTTCCCATGGCGCTTCTCCATCCTCCACCCCGCCCAGAGCTTCTGATCCCCCTCCATGAGATCCACGTCCCTCTCCTCCCTCTCGTACGCCTCCTGTAGCTTGTCCCTCTTGACCCCGGGCTCGACCGTGATCCTGGCGACGCTGAAGCTGTCCTTGTTCAGAAACGCGCGCCGCAGCTGCTCGTCCTTGCCGGCCGGGCTCAGGTGCTGCAGCAGCGCCGAGCTGCACCCGGGCTTGATGTAGTGCGCCAGCTTGGCGTTGCACATCTGGTTGTCGGTGGACCGGATCCATTCGCCGTGGTCCTCGGGCGAGTCCCACGGCGCCGTGATGAGCAGCGACGGCGGGTCGCTGTGCTCAATGTACATGCTGCTCAGGTTGCTGTTGGGCTCCAGGTTGTACGGGTGGTTGACGCGCGTCCAGCTGTCCTGGATCTCCTGCACCTCCATGAGCGCCTCGAGGAAGTCGAGCTCGTCGAAGCCGCCGCCGCGGAGGCAGATGATGGCGAACTCGGTGACGGGCATCGCGGGAAGCGCGCGCGCGTGCGGTGACTGGTGTGGTGATGTGGTATATATATATATATGCTTTGTGTCGAGTTATTTTTCTTCTTGTTTGGCCACCGGTGTTGTAGCTATGCAGTTTTGCTGCTGACGTAGGCAGTCGCCGGATGCGTATGTCGTGGCTTGCGCCTTGGATCGTGTGGAGTTTGCCTCGCGAGACAGTGCGTGGAAGGCCGGCAGCCTGGGATGGCGGGGTTCAACATGTCTTTGGATGGGAATTTGTGCCCTTTTTTAGGTGTGTAATTGCGTGTTTTGTGTGTTCGTGCGTATCGGGTTGAAATTTGCGAAATATGGGTTGCGTTGGCCGCGGGATGTATTGACTCCTGATTGACTTTGGAACAAAACACTAACTGGTATACGCACAGTTTTATGTTAACGGCCGTCATGGGATGGAAGACAAGGCCCACGCCCCACTGACTCCATATGCAATATAGCCTTGAGATTTCTGGCCCGGTGCCAATGCCGACTCTCGCCTTGTCGCTGCCGGGCGCCGGCCGGCATCTGGGCCTCCAACTTCGGCTTCAGCCCGGCCCCTGCCGCCGGCATCCGCAATAGCCGCGCAAGGCGGACCTTACTGCTACAGCCAGGGAACTTTCCCCGCCGAGAATGGCATGGTGCCAGGTATTCCAAATGCCCAGGACTTCTTTGACTTCAAACAAGCTTCTGAAGTAGCAGCAGAAGTAGCACATGCTACAGCTCGAGAGCAGAGCATTGCGTTCCGTCACTGCAGTAGCCGAGTCAAGGTGCCATTCGGTCAATTAGCTCAGCGAATTGAGAAATTGTACAGTGCAAGTTTCGAGACTGTATGCATGTATGCATGGATCCGTCAAGCTATAAAACTAGGCATGCAAGATGTGATTGCTAGTCAAGTAGTTACCTGGAGGCTACTTTCGTTAGAAAGGGGGAGTTGACATTTCCGTACTTGGGAGGCCCGTGAGGAGTGGTTCTTATCTCTCCCCTGGCTCGCTGTGGTTCATTGAATAGCAGCATCGACAGGGACAAATAAAGCCAGGCCAGTTGATTACGAAAGCCGGAAATTGAAGTGTGAAGCTACCAAAGGCAGAGGAGAGATTGCCCACCTGCACTAGCTAAAGGTCTGTCTTTTTATTCACGCACGATACTAAACCAAAGCAATGTTAAACTTGAATATACAATGCTAACGTCATAATTGGGCAGCTATGGATCGAATTGAACAGTGGACTTGGTCCTCGATTGAAGCCATCTATCGAGGGACAATAAGTAATAAACCGAAGCTTTGCCTCTGTGTAGTATACTTTACAATCGTTGTCCGAGACTGGGCCCATACATGAGCCTCGTAGACAGCTTCTGCAGATGGAATTGATCATGATTCACCCCCCCGCATCAAGTTTGGAGTTTTGATCCGAACCCCGTTTATGTACTCTATGATGTGAGAAATGCCCGCAATCTCAGAATCCCATGCGATATTTTGGATTCCCAGTGCTACCGCCGTGTCCCGCCAAGATGCCATCGAGGGCGCGTCCGGTATAAAGTACCAACTGCACTTGAATCCAAGAGCAAGCGTATCCTCCGCAACTCGGCAGGTGAAGCAGCCAACGCCACGACTAGTGGTGTCGTACAGCATCATGAACCGCAGCCTGGGCGTGAGCAGCAGCATGTAGGCGGCGTTCCGCACCAGACGGCTCAAATCGTGGGTCGGGCTGTCCCCTATGGATCCTTTTGCCGCCAAAATAAGGCTCTCCAGGTTTGGCCACAGCGTGGTACTGTTCGCCATGTAGGACTCAAGCGTGTGGCCATCGTATTCGAGAGAGAGGCTCTTGAGCTCAGAGAGCCTGTACCAAAGGATTCTGAACAACACGCCGTCGGGTTCGTAATCCCCACGCCAGTACGGGATGAGATACGTGTGCACCTGGGTAATATGCAGGTGTTGCAGTGACATGGGCAGAGAGAACAGTACGTGGACAATGTCGAGGTCAATCGGACGCTTGATCTTGCACGCCACCAGTGGCCGGAGCTGCCAGTCCAACATCCGAAGGCAGGGCAGACTCCAAATAATGGCACCTAGGGCGTCGGGGTGGAAGCGTCGAACAGTCCTGCGCAGGACAGACATGGCCGAGATGACGCTGACGCTGGGGAACCACCGCCGGCAGCCTCTCGTCGCGGACGTCCTCGTCGGCTCCATGGGCGCGCCTCCGTCATTCAAGCCGAGTTCGAAATTGAAGTCTTCTTGGGCAGCGCAGACGGGTCCTTGCCAGTCATGCTGGGACAAGGAGAAAAGCGTGGGTGTGAACTGTGTGCGGCTCAATACCCACGGGCCCGGTACGGGAATCCCATGGATGACCGGTATTCCGCCGTATCTTCGCATTCTTTCCGCCATCCTTTGCCAATAGCTCTTTGAGTCTGCGATGATTTCGAGGGCTACGCCGTGGTCCGAGACTTGGTGTCGTGCCCAAGTCTCCAAGAGGCCAAAGAGAGAGGAGATGCCGGAAAAGAGGGCCAGGTCGTCCAGCGTCTTTTGATGGCTCAGCTCGGGAGGATAAAAGGAGGCACCGGGCCCGCCGTCCCAGAGCCTCCGCATCAGCAGCAGGGCTGTTTCCTCCTCTGTGGTGGCCCGGTCGTTATGAACTCGGATCGGCGGATGTTGGGGGAGGTCGAGCACCAGGCCGACGCGCTGGAGGCATCTCCTCCGTCCTCGCTCTTGGAACGACGTCTCGAACATGCCGAGATCGCCTAGCGTGACGTCCAGGGAGCAGAACGTGTGCTGTTCGAAGAAGGCCTGCCAATCTCGGGAGACGCTTGCGTACCCAGCAAGGGGTTCGTTGTTGCTGTACGCAGTTTCCACGACGCGCGCCAAGACGTCGTCCCTAATGTGGCGAGGCAACATGTTCCAGGGCATTGTGAGGGGAGTTTGCTGCAGTGTCGGTCGAAGCGGCCGGGGATGATGGTGATGAGTGACGACATCATTTTCTTACCCAAATACACTGGATGCCTTTAAATGCTCAGGGTAATCAAACAAAGCGCGGTTGAAAATTGAATGTGCAAGAGCTGCAAAACGTACCTTCCCGCTTTACTTCTTTGATGGGAGTCTTTGAGTGCTGCGCCGCCATAATCACAACATTGAAGCCTCATGTAGTTTAAACTTGACCTATAATTAATCTGCATAACATTAATTACTATTAGGAGCTTAGATCTTAATGCCAGTGTATATCTTTGTGCATTATTGTGAACCTGCCGCTATTGGTGTTCAAGGCTGCAGGCACCTTCCAAGGTCACCTTGCCCTACACATCACCCGCACCTCAACAGCATCGACATCAACAGCATCAACAAGACTAAATTTAATAGCTTCAACGAGCCCGAATCCAGCGGCAGCTTTAATTTTCACCTGTCCGGCTCGGCGCTTTGCTTATACGTATGACAAGGGCTTGCATTGTCACCTGACCTAGTTCGGGGTATCAAAAACTACATGTGCTGGAAAAGAATCCAACATGCGGTCTTTGGCGAGCGTGGCGGGATAAAATGACGTCTGCGCATGACGTCTACAAAGTTGAATGCAAATACGCCGGCTCTGTTTGCCAAAATTTTCCGAGAAAAATTACGACGCGGTGGTGACGAGGCTCATAGTGCAGGAGCTAGTCATGTGTCAACGGGTAAAAGTACGGGGTATCTACAACCAAGAGGTATACTAGGTTTCGTTGTTAAAGCCAGTTGTGCAAGTGGCATTTCCCTCTTGCTTGGTCTAGTTCATTTGTGATGGCAAGTTGTAAATCAAGGCCGGCCACGTGCATTTGAGAGGGAAATTGCAGCGGGACAACTACAAGCTAGCCATCCCATATAAAGTTGGAAATGTAGCTAGGGAGTTTGGATGTAAATGTGGCAACTAAATACTTGCTGTATCTAGGTCAAGTGCCAAATTGTGAGCCGCCACTTGCTATCGAACCAAGTTGCTACGAGCCCCCTAGTTGATTTACTTTTCGCATCAAGACTAGATATCGCAGCGCCAAAGCCACTCACTATAAATCATGCCGAGCCCTCGATGCGTTTATTGAAGCCTTTCAGTTTCAATCAATACACCGGCTTTGATGCCGTGAGCAAGTATATTGGAAATACTGCAATGGCAATTTACTAAGTTGTTTCCCTCTAAAGTCAAATGATAATACAACCATGATACAAGTTATCGTGAAAGCACAACAAGCAATAGCAATTTACACAGCGGAAAAATGCAGTCTTCACTGATGCTGAAGGGGACATCGACTCTATCCAGACGAAACCGCCTACTCGCAATAAAAGTCACATGATACAGACATGATGCAAGCCTATTTCCAAACGACATATTAGGACTGCGGGGTCCTTTGTGTCACGGACGACAAAGCTTCTTCGTCTGAAGCATTGAAACGCTTGGCATCCTCGCACCAATCTGCCGCCAATCAAAGCCGGCAGATAACCAACGTCGCACAACGTCAACCCTACAGGGATTTCCCTGCCTTCCCCCAGCCATCTCCAACCCGGATCCCAGAGCGAGCGTGTTGTGCGACGTCACTTGACGGCTGTGAAAGGCAGCTCAGGCCGGCTCCCACCGAAGAAGCTCGTGTCTACTCCCACCGGCAGAGTGAATTGGCGAGCCTCTACGCCCAAGATGCTTGGTTTCCTGGGCGTGGTAAATTACCTCGAAGCTCCTCATTCCTACCTAGCCACGGCGTCGGGAGCGGTAACAGCACCCAAGACCGACCCCCCAATACACGTCGGATGACGGATCAAACGCCATCGACGCGTTTGTACATCAGAGCACCCCGTGTGGAGGATACTCGTGGTTGAAATATTGACTTTACAAGGTGGGCTTTTCAGAGACGCAGACGCCTTGGAAACATGTGAGTTGTGCATAAAGAGCGTCTCTCCGTACCCCAGACGCCGTCATGGCTCCCGTCGCCACACAGCACGACACGTTGAAGCGGCATCATACCCGATGCACGACCGGCAAGGATCCCATGCAAGTCGCTCCGCAAATCTCGTCATCATGTACAGTTTTCTATTTACCAAAACTCGATGCTATGCAAGTCCCGCCTCCTAAAACAAGTTTCCCGGCACCACATCTGCGGCCCTCGCATAAAACTGGGTATTTCCCCCGCGTCAAACCACGTACAATACTACTAGCATGACCGTAAAAAAACGACAAGACGTAAATGTAAATAAATTATGCGCCATTGTTTCCCATTGAAGCTGTGTAATAATTCGACTTTGCCGCCCGTTCCCCATATACCAAAAACAGCACTAACAAACGTAAAAAGCTCTGAACTGGTTTCAGATGGCACAAATGGCCCCCCTTATGGGGTCCTCTCATGGGGTTTCATTAGGAGTTGACCTTACGACTGGTCTATCTTGTGTGAGCTGGGATATGGCGAGGGCGCCTTGCTGCCGGTGTCGGGGCGGTAGAGCTCGAGCTCATCTTCTCGGCTTTTGAAAGGATCAGACGGACGACTGTTCCTCGAGGCTCTCGAGATTCCCGAGTTGTGCGGGTAACTGCCGCTGCCGTAATTTGCATAAGCACTGCTGATGGGCGGCTTGCCCAGGATGTAGTCGTAGACGGGCTTGATGGGGGGCACACTGCCGCAGACGATGATGACAAATAGCTCGGATGCAGACCAGACGTAGAGTTCATATGTCTCCCCTGTTTTTGCGTGTGAGCAGAAAATAATCACGGGCGCCCGCAAGGTCGTGAAGTCCGGGGGCGTAGCAGAAGAAGAACATACATGTAATATCAGATCGTCCGCTCAAGGATGTCAGGTACTTGGTCTTGACCGTCGCAAAGATGGCGGCGGTAAAGGAAAGTCCCAAGAGCGCACATAGGCCGATTTTCTTCCTCCATGACAGCTTCAGGTTGTACATAAACGTCACCGGCAGCACGGCCAAAACGACGTCGGTGAGGATATTCCAGCCTAAAGAAAAGGATGGGTTAACCTCTTGCGACAGGGGCATCTGAGCAGGATACAATGAAATTGACGTACTGGAGAGGAAGATGGCAAAGTCGGTCTGGACCGCAGGCGGCCAGCACTTTGCTTTCCCTTGCGCTATCAGGGCCGGATTCCAGAGGGCCTCGACGGGAGAGCACTGGGCAAAGGTGAAGATGATGTTGATGACGGTAATGACAAAGACCGAGCTGATGGCGAAGATGACGAGGCGCTTGCGCCAGTGTGCTGTCTCCCAGACGACCCGTAGCAGCAGGAGACCGACGGAGATCTTGCCCGTGGCAAATCCCATAATGACAAAGGGTTGTGACACCCAGCTCCATTTCCCGGCCTGCAGCCTCTGCTCCGGCGAGAGATAGAACAGATGCCGCATGCCGCCGATGCCAATCAGCCTGGTGAGAATAGCGGCATATGCGACGTAGAGCGCCTACAAGTGGCTGTTGGCAAATTGTTCTCGTCGACAAGGGGCAAAGCCATGGCTGGAAACTTACAAGAGTGAAGAGCATGGTCCAGTCGTCCCATCCTAACGATTTCCGCATCCGTCTTCCCAATATCCGCAGGGCAACAATGACGATGGCAATACTGGCCGTGACCCAGAGCAGAATCAAAGCTGAAGGACCGCGGTCGACATCGCCGCCTGCAGGTTCCTGATTATTCGTGGACATGACGGCATGAAATGGCGCTCGATTAAGACCAAGTATGAGAGTCGGAAGACCCAGGGGGGAACTTTGCCCGTATGAGGCGAAACTGGCAGGCTTTACACTTGCAACGGCATGACCACCCTTTGATCTCTTGTTCCTTTTTTTTTTTTGCGATTCCTTGTTGAAGCTTGAACGACGGGAAGGTTTGCGGAAATAGAGACGTAAACCTGGCGAGGACAAGCAGGGTTCATATGATATGGTGCAGGCTCTTGGAGGTAAGGATGAAGAACAGGGCCGGCAGAATAGCCTAGAGAGGACTAGACAACGGTTTCTTCATGGCACACGAGATTCCCCATTCAACTATCACGTAGTGTGTGTTGATCTCAGAGTTTGGCGGTGGGTCGGCAGTCGATACCCAATCAGTCAAGCCATGGTCCTGGCGTTGCCGGTATCGATTCCAGGGGCGCTCTGCGCGGCGAGGTGCGCAGAGTCTGCGAGAGATGAGCCAGGTGCTGGGCATCGTGGTGGATGGTTCAGACCCATGTACGCACAGACGAAGACGCTTTGAGGCCGAGACCACCACGCCACGAGCAGCCGAGGAGGGCGGTCGAGCGTTGCCCACGTACCGAGTGCGAGTTATCAGAAATCAGATCACCCTAGCGTATCCGGGGGAGAGCTTCCGGGTTTGCGTGGGTGTAGGCGTGCTTGGCGGTGGCCCTTGGGATCGAGGGGCGAGTGCCGACGGCATCATCTTCGGGACGTGGGATTGATTTTTTATACACGGGCAACATCTGGTCTTGGATTGACATGGTGTTGTGTTCAATGTCTGGTTCTCTTGCTCCTTCCCAAGGTGGCGGGTTGGACGGGCAAAAACGTGGTCGTCAGGTGACTCGGGTCCCCAGGCGTCAATTTGTTCCCAACTTCGCAGCCACAGGTCTCGCACGACGCCAACCGAAACCACTGCAGTCCTGAAATAGACGATCTTGTCGCAAAGCGGGTGTTGGCTCGTCGGCTGCAACGACGTTTCCACGCGACACTAGTTCTGGCCACGGCTAGGATGGAGAGTCCAAGTGGGCTAAGTGGCGTCTCTGCTGCGAGCCGCGCCATAGACGACGACCAGGCTCTCGCGCAGGCCCACGGCGGAATATGACATGTATCTGACTGTCCGCCTGGTGAGGCCTAGCTTGCCTCCCGCTTTGAAGGTGCGATGCCTCTTTGACGCTTGGTAGCTAGGGGCTGTTCCGTCGCGGCCGGAGGGCCATCGAGTCTTGAGAGCCATCGCCATCATCACAACCGACCGCGTCGGGCTAAATGCCAAAATTTTCCCACGTCGGTCCGAACAATCGCGAGACATTGCCGTGCGCGAGCTTTGGGTTCGTTAGTCGCAACGGCACCCCGAGTAGCTCAACGCCTCTTCCGACACAAACATGTCCAGCCCATAATCTTCCGGCTGCTAACTGATGTCCATCTTTTCAAAATAACCTTCAAGCCACAGCCTCGCGCCATGAGCTGACGACATACCCTACCCGTGAGACATGGCTGATTCATCCATGTCTACATGCGACGGCCTTTGTCTTTGGCCATACGAAGGCGCCGGGCATGCAATTCGGAACCGTCAGTTGGAATAGTACGCCATCGCTCACGATTCCCTGGCCCATGGCGTCGGGAAATTTCAACCGAGCTCTCATTCAGCCACTATTGCCATCGTTCGACATGGGCAAAGCGTACAACCACTCCACGTGACAAGCGGCATGGGAAACATCATGAACAAGATGGCCGACGAGGCATGTATTCGATGCTAGCGCTATATACCTCTACTAATAGATTCTTGATAGTTTGGAAACTAAACATTGCAACCAAGCTTGTACATGGCGGTATAGACACATGTATTTGCATGTCCAAGTACCATATATACATATCGCTTGCAACATACATCTCCTACAACGCCTTGGCAGCCCATCCAAGGCGATTGTTTCCACCGTCAAAAACAACAAAGGCAGACTTGAGCGCAACGTCGCCAAAGATGTTGATCCCGATGCCCGAGCTGCTCTGCAGGCCCCCGAAGCACGTCCTCCCAGTGCTATCGGTAGGCGCATAGTTGAGGTACGCCCCCGGGACGGTGACAGTGGCGCCGGAAACGCCAAACGAAAAGCTAGGCAGGCTCTGGCTGCAGGCAAACGTGTAGCCGCCCTGCGAGCTGTCGTACCTGGCGCCGCTGACCTTGGCGTAGTACGCGCTGACGATGCTACTGGGGAGCAAGAGCAGCGTGGTGCCGGTGTCGGCAATGCCCGACGTCGACGCCGTGTTCAGGCTGCCGCCGCCCACGGCGTAGCCCCTTGACGTGAAGCCCCAGAAGCCCTGGCTGCTGTCGACGGGCGTATACGCAATGGACCCGGTGTAGGCGGTGCTGTCGATGTAACCAAAGTTGTATTTGCCGTCTACGAGCACGCAGTTAGCAGATCATGTCGGTTGCTTTTGCTCGAAAAAAACAGGGAAGGGGGGGGCGGTTACCGGCTCCGTGCTTCAAGTCGGCAGTAAAGAGAGCAGAATCCAAAGCGGGCTTTGCATTGTCGAAAAAGGTCTTTTGCTTGGTGGGCTTGACCGTGTTGATGGAGCTAAAGGCCAGCCCGAGAAGCCCAGACGAGGCCGCGTCCTGCGAGAACTGGGAAGACACCTGCTTGGCGGCCTCGACGGCCTGGGCATTCACCGTCAAGCCACCGACGGTGACGGCGTCGGTGTAGACGACGCCACTGGAGCTGCTGCCGTCGCCGTACGTGATGCTCCAGGTAGATCCGCTGAGAGACTGAGCGGTCGAGCTCTTGCTTGGGTTGTACAACGTCTGGCCATTGACCTGCGAGGAAGGGGTCAAGCTGCTGAAGACCCAGAGATCGCTGGAGCCTGTATCAAAGTCCAGGTTTAGAGTCTGGGCGGGTGTGCCGATTTGCACGGGGGCCAAGTACTCGATGTCATATTGCTGGGGAGAGTTGGGATCCGAGCCCGTGGTCCTCTTGCTGTTCTGGCGGCTGAGGGCGTTGGCCACGTCGACGGGGACAGGCTTGCCAAACTTCCTGTAGGCCTTGGCCAGGGCCGCAGGGCCGTTGCGTGTGAAGTTTGCGTTGTGCTTTGCCGTGACGGAAACGTTTCCAGCAGGCGTGGAAGAAGGGGTTGTGGGAAGCGCAGTGGCGAGGCTGCTTGCCACGACGAGGGAGACGAGGAATGAACCAAAGGTCTGCATGGTTTCGAACGAGTTTGGTTTTTTCAAAAGCGTATCAGAGGATTTATTTTCTATCTGTGATACCGGGAATCAAATCAACAACTCGTGGCCATTGCCCCTGCGTATTTATACTTGATTCTGATAGTACACTGCGGCCCTCTTATCCAATACGACGCACCGCTTTTGCCGATGACGGCTCCCGCGAAGTCGTCACGAGAGCTCGACGATACAGGAAGTTGGGAAATGAAGCAACTTTCCGCCCGGTTTGTTGGGAAAAAAGTTCCCGAAAGAAGCTTTGCACAGAGGGTTGTGATGCTGGGGATGAGTTACACCATCACATAAACTTCACGCGCGAACTGACGACAACTTCCTAGTTGGGAAGGTGAAAGTCCAACCTCGGCCGAAACGGACTAAGCAACTCCTCCACGTACAGCCTGGGCTTGCAGAGCTGATGCCGCACTATCCGGATACAATAGAGCAGAGGGCTGGTATTACGACAGATTGCCGGTAGATGAGGTTATATTTAAACAATTGGGGGGGCGGGGGACGCATCGTGGTGGACTTTTTGTGAGTGGTGCGTCGGTCGCCTATTTGGATTTGATCAGCAGACGTCCTCGACGATATACGCCGTACTACCTCTGGAGATGACTTACCTGCATGCGGTAAACACGACTCTATATTCGTCCATCTGTCCATATACCTCCTGCCATTGAAACTCATTTACTTTGTGCTGGTCGGTTGCCGCAACAGAGCAACACCAGACGCGGTAGCCGCAGAACCGTCGAGGTACTCAAATATGCGACCCTTAGAAACAACAATTGCACTGCCGGATCCGAACCCCAAGCCAAGAGTCCCTTGGGGCTGATAGATCTCTTGGCCTCTCACCCAATGACATGCTGCTGCCGCCATTCCCTAAAAGGCAACTTTATCTCTTCAGTTCGTCCAAGAAAAGGGATCGACACCCGGCGGCTGATTGCCAATTACTCAAACTAGAAGCTGGTCGGAAGTGAGATTGCCGAAGGCCAGGGACCCTCGGTGCAAAAGGCTGCGTGACGCGGCAATCGCAAGACTGGGATTGGATGCCGTCAACTTAAAAAAGAAGCCCGTTTGTTCTTTTATCTGGGGTAAGCGACCCTTCCCAGAAAACAGGTTGGTTAGAGTTTTTTCTTCTTTTTGCCTTGGTTCCCAAATGGGGTCTGGAACGCCCGTTGTACAAGCCACACTGTTCTTAGACTGCTCGAGCCTGATAGCACACGACTTTTTCAGCTCTGGCGTTTTTCTTTCTGGTCAACGGCCCAAGTGGGCTTATGGCTTTATCCGACCATGAAAATGCCCGTGCTCCCTTTGCAAGTTTTTGCAAAGCGTGTATAGTGCTAGCGGTAATCGAGGTTTCGCCAGCAATAACTTACATAATGGGGAGCTACTGAAGTTTCGCTAGTTCACAAGCCTCCTATCTTTTCGGCTTACACGGCTGAGGACTACTGAAACTTTTCATCGCGGTTGTTCAAACGCCACCCGTGGAATCTCTTGTTGCGGAAGATGCCGACTATTGGCCGCGCAAGGCCGTTGTGCTACTGACCTGCCTAGGCCGGCTACCATATCTGCCCAAGGTTTGGTGTAACCGCGAAAAGGCTCCCTCGGGTGTTCCCTCCTCCGCGTATGACAACGTGTTGATTCTTCCAGGGAGCACAAGCACGGCATGTTCTCTGCGTCTTATGCCCAGCCAAGGAATCAATCGCTGGCCCATGCCCGCACACCATACCTATCGACGGGCAAGATGGCGATGTGACACATGACTGGCAGAGGGGCGGGCGTGAGAGCCAAGCATGGAGGGATATGCGGAGCTGCTGCATCTCTCTTCCTTGATGGCAGTCCTTTGTAGTCTGTCGTTGATATCCATGCCACGGAACAAGCTGCTCATCATCCTCCCAGATCCGGCAGCTTTCTTGGCTCGAAAATGCGAAGCTGCCCGCCCGTTGGAAACGGGTTCCTGTGCTTGTTGCCCTTGGGCCCCGTCGTTCCCAGCCGGCTCCTGAAGTCGCCGTGCTTGAAGTAGGCGTTGCACCTCATTGCACGCATGTAGCACCATTCATCCAAAACCTAATTTCCCAAGCATAAATAAACACACAAACCAGCGCTTCTAGTTCCGGAACGTCCCTGCAAGTGGTTAATATCCAGCAGTGTTGATTTTCTTTTATTTTTCAACCTATTCCAATATTCGTGCCAGCACGACATCACGAAGGGCCCAGTTGTACAACACCGCGTGCCTCATCGCACGTACCCAAACTCAAGGACCGTCACATCTGCATCTATTCTATCAAAGATATAAAGATTGTATTCATCCACAGCACATCACTCAAAAGTCCCGGCATATCGCGGACACTTGGCCAGTAGCATCACATGCCCGCTTATCAAATACACGCCAACACAGCAAGGCATAATATGCCACGGCGCGATATCCAGGTCCCTTGCGCGAACACCTTTGGCCTCGGCAGCCAAGACGATGCCCAAGTGTATTTCTTCCCAGGGCGACCATGCAGGACAACAGATGTCCCCTCCCTCGCCTCCAAGTCGCACCCTGGGTATCCCAAACTCCCCAGCTGTTGCACAAATTTAAAAGACTCCCGCTACCCGTCGTATCACGGCCTCAACAAGCACAGCACGACATGTGCAGTCAAATCACTCTAAACAAATAAATCAAGTTTAAAATCTACCCCTCTTGCTGTCAAAATGCAATGTCTGGTATCAACTATCAAACTAGTCCAAAGGCCAAGTACCCCAAATCACACACCTGTGCCCATCACTCTTCCCCAGCACCAGCTCCCAGACACCCATGCACATGAACCGTCCATCAATGCAAATTCCAACCCATCTCTCCAGTGTCCAGCTCGCTCCAATATTCCTGCAAATTGCAACCCTACTCTCCGGACGGTCCCAATTCTATGTCATCCCCAACACCGAGACTCACTCCCCGCCTCTGATTGGCCACCCTTGTCTGTCACAAGCTCACTGTCATTGGCCCACGTCGAAAAAAAAAAGCCCATAGGCAATGACCAACTACACTGTTACCAGCATCACACGGTTAAAGGAAAACAAAATTTGATGTTACGCCAAGATACATATAAAAAAGCCGTAGCATATTTTTCATTTCCTTCTTTTCAAAATTCTCCATGTCCATAAACTACTCTCCCCACAAGATCTAATTTCGCCAAAAAAAACAAAGAAAGAAAGAATGGCCGAGCCCACGCCCAACGACACCAAGCAACACGACACGGAGAAACAATCCCCGGCATGCGCGCAAAAGACATCGGCCTTCAAGTCCCTCGGCTGGCTGGACAAGTTCCTCGCCATATGGATCCTTCTCGCCATGCTCGTCGGCATACTGCTGGGGAACTTTGTGCCCAGCACCGAGAGGGTTCTCCAGCAGGGACACTGGGTCGGGGTGTCGATACCAATCGGTACGTCGGACAAGATGACTACTACACGCCGTCTGGTGCCATGCGCTTCTGACACCAAGCTTTAGCAATCGGGCTGTTGGTCATGATGTACCCCATCCTGTGTAATGTGCGGTACGAAACGCTGCACAGGATTCTGGGGCAAAAGGCCCTCTGGATGCAGGTCCTCTTCAGCATCGTCTTCAACTGGATCGTCGCACCGTTCTTCATGGTACATGGTTTTGCCCCCCTCCCCCCGTACACTCATCGGTAGGCGGCTTCGGGCTAACAATGAATGCAAGCTCGGCCTGGCATGGGCTTTTCTTCCCGACGAACCAAATCTCCGCAATGGCCTCATTCTCGTCGGTCTTGGCCGCTGTATTGCCATGGTGCTTATATGGAATGGCCTTGCGGGTGGCGACGCCGAGTACTGCGCCATCTTGGTCGCCATCAATTCCATGCTGCAGATGGTCCTGTTCGCGCCCATGGCTGTGTTCTTTATCCGTGTCATTGGACGCCCGGACAGTGACGACGTGGCCGTACAATACTCTGTCGTCGCAACGAGCGTGGGCGTGTTTCTGGGCATCCCTCTCGGCGCGGCAATCGTCACCCGCCTTGCCTTGCGGCATCTAGCCGGCGAGAAGTGGTACAACGACATCTTTATGAAGTACCTGTCGCCATGGTCCCTGATCGGGCTGCTGTACACGATTATTGTGTTGTTTGCTGCACAGGGAAAGCATGTCGTGCGGCAGATTGTGAGTGTTGTGCGTGTGGCCGCTCCGCTGGTAGTGTATTTCCTCGTCATTTTCTTTGTTACGCTATGGGTGACGAGGAGATTGGGGTATGGCTACCGCATTGGATGCACGCAGAGTTTCACGGCTGCCAGCAACAACTTCGAGCTAGCCATCGCGGTGGCGGTTGCAACCTTTGGGGCGGATAGTGAGCAGGCGTTGGCGGCGACGGTTGGGCCTCTGATCGAGGTTCCTGTCTTGGTTGGGCTAGTGTATTTCGTGAGATGGATTGGACGGCGGTGGAAATGGGAGGAGTAAGCCAAGACCAAGCACTGTTTGCAGCTCGTCCGTTGATACTGCCAGCCATTGTTGTAGACGGCGCAGAATAGAGTCGATGCTTCCCCTCATGGGAGCAGCCACTTTTGAATGCCAGAGCCCAGGAAAATAAACCCTTGCGCGGATTTGTCGGAGAAATATTTTCGTGACAGCAGAGAGGGCCTCATGAAAAGTTGCCGCGTCCTTCGCCCTCCAAAATCTGAAACAGCATAGTGTTCTTCACCAGACACTCTTGCTGGCCACGACAGCCCAGGCGCGCCTTTGCAGCACCCATATCCCCATGCCCCTGCATCTCAGCAATGATGGCGGCAGCCGCACTACACGACATTTCCATGGGCGATGAAAAGCCCGGCACCAAGCCAGCGGCGTCGGGCGAAGATGTGGGCGTGACAGCCCGCGTGCTGGTCTCAACAGTCGAGGGGCTCGGCGCCTCGGACGCCGCAGTGGTGCATCGTGTTTTCCCCTCACAGCAAGAATTCTGCTGGAGCGTTGCCGACGCCAGCACATCCAGTGGTGTGTGCTGGCGGGAAGCCGCTGAGCTGTGGCTAGAGCTGGACATGGGCCCCGTGTGTCCGCCGAGAGCAAAGGCGTGCTGGTGGTTTCCAGGCATAGACTGCGGGTGCATGTGCGGATTGGGCTTGCCGCTGCTCACGTCTTGCTGCGGTACAGCCTTGACACCTCTCGATGATTCATCATCCCTCTGGTCATGATGAATAGGCCGCATGCTAACGCTTGACAGGGCCTCGGCAGCCTCTCGGTCCTGGCACGCGGCCAAGAAGTCATCAACGTCGCCCTCGCTGACGCCCAGGCTTGCGAGCATCATCTTTAGCCTTGCGTTCTCGACGGCCACGGTGCGGGCGGCCTGCTGCATCTCCAGCGTGGCCTCGACGCCCCGTCGCTCATACTCTTGCACCTTGCGCTCGAGGTTTTCCACATACTCCTTTCGGCGGGCACGGGAGCGGCGCTGATTGTCGCGAATGCGGATTGCGGATGCGGACTGGTCTTGTTGCTGTGCCTGGGAGTCGGTACATTGTCAGCTCGTGGTCTACGGCGTTGCCATTGCAAGTCGATCAAGAGCAAACACAGGGAAGGCTGAGAGCCGCATCGGGTTAAGAGCCGTCAATTGCAAGCAGCAATGGCAATGGATGGCATTGCTATTGCAATTGAACTTGGCGTCTTCGCATCTGGTCGTGACTTGTCACCCCAGTGTCACCAAACACTGGGCGCGCAGAAATTCACCAAACCCTGCCAGCAAGCAAGCATCTTGACTCTGCGTAAAGAGCGGGGGGGAATAATAAAACCACGCGGAGTCATACCTTTACGTTTGCCATTGTGTGTTCAACACCTGCCAGCAATGCAGCGTCTGTACGGTACGGTATCACTGTGGTGTTTTGGACCAAGCCTGGAAGCAAAGAGACAAAATTCTGACTTGCATGGCGAGTGGAGTGTCAGGGTCCCTTGTGTGTCTTCGTGTCTCGCTCCGTTCTTGAGTTGCTTGTCTCGTCGCTTGATGGACGGTGGACGGTGGAGGCGTAAGTGGAGCCGTGGCCATGGCATTGCTGCTGGTTGACTGGCAAACGGGCGGCGGGGTCGGGCCTGCGCCGTCTTACTGGCTGCTTAAATAGTTACAAGTGCACATCATTCTGCTCCAGCCATTCAGCTCCGCTCAGCTCATTGTTTGGTCATCACATTTCACTTTTTTTCTTCATCCCCACTGGTCGGCGGGGACTCGGTGACAAACACAGACGATGCACACACAAGCTTGTGCACCAACCAGTGCGCGTCGACGGCTACCATGGCCAATGTACCGAGTACACTGCATTTTACCAGCACGTTGGCTGCCTTTAAAAAATGTATTCCATTCTATGAATACGGGTATCATTTTACATAAACGCCTTGCCCAATTCAACCCCATCTGCCGCGTAGACCCCCTACTCCCTCTAGTATCGAGTCTGCCGATCCCTGGAATCCAATCATTTAAACAATCGCTTTCTTGTCCTTGTCGAGAATCTCTCCACGCCGCTGCCCTGTTGCGCGTGCCACAGCTGCTGCACTCCCACACCTCGGCTCTCCCCGGTCAGCTTGTACCGTCGCCATGCCTCCCGCAGGTGGTCAGGTCGCATCGGGCCGCGCTTGACCTCGGACTGCTCTGCCTCCTCTGCCTCGTCGTCCTTGTCCGCATCGTCTGTTGACGGCGGCGGCGTTGGCAGGTCCGTCTGCTTCTCACCAGCAGAAATCCATTCGCCTTGGACGTTTCGGGCTGCCTCAATAATCTCACCGGCAAACAGCTTGGCAACTGCCTTGACAGCTGTGCTGACCATCTGCGGCACCGACTGTGAGACCGTCGCATTGACTACCTGAGCTGCGAGTTAGCATAGACATCATGATAGCAAAACAGCCCGGTTGCAGGGGCTTCCTTACCCTCTTGACGACTGCATCTGACAGCTTTGCCGCTCGCCATAGCTCGTATCGGTTGTATTGCTCGCTGTCAAAGGCCTCCACCAGCATGGCTCTCAGCCGGATTTCTTCCTGTTTCTGTTCCTGAGTGCGCGCACCAGAGTCTTCCAGCGCCATTTCCCCATTCTCGTCGTCATCGTCATCATCTTCGGCCTCCTTGTCCCCGCCCTGTCCGCTCACGTTGGTGGGCGCTTTGCCACCAACTAGACTCGGCGTGCCTTCAACCTCTTCGCCCTTTGCATTTTTGGACTTGCGTCCTCTCTTCTTCTTGGTGGCCCCGCTGGTGGTTGTGCTGACGGCACTGCCACTCACAATAGACGTAGCATCAACGGATGGGGATCGCGCGTACGGTGATCCGGCTTCAGGGGGGAAAGAAGTCTGCCGTAGGGGATGGGCAGGCGCTGAAGACTGGGACAGGTTGGAGGCCTTTCGGCGCTTGATGGGAGGAGCATTGACATCGAGAGCAGACGATCGCTTCTTGTTGGGAAGCTGTGCCGGCGATGGATTCGGCGGCGACGTGGCCAAGGGCGACGTGGCGTAGGGCGGCGAAGCCATGGTCAAGTAGAGTGGCTAAATCGTAGCCTCATGAGCGTGCTACTTGACTCCAAGAGACCACCCGTGTGCGGAGGAATATGGCGGAAGAGCTCGCAGAGAGACGAGATGCAACTTCGCTGAGTTGATGCTAATGTACGCGCTTGTTATCCGTGGCACCAGCTCCAAAGGGGGGCGCCTGCACGTGATCATATCATGCTTGTGCCGCAAGCCTTCATGTCTGGTCCACCCTGTATTCTGCGCCCAGCCTCCAACTGGCTTTCTATCGCGACTTGTGATGCCAAAGCACAACAACTTGATCTCATTAAGTCCATGGCCATGGCTTTTCATGCAATTTAATAAGCCCTAAGCGGGCATCACATAGTCACACCACTCTTGTGGCCAATTCGCAGCCCATTTCATTGCAAGCAGAACCCTTCTGTAATTCCTCGACGTTTTGTCTAAGCAACTAAACCTCATTCAAACAGTGCCAAAAACCACTACCGGTAATTGGGGAACCATAAGACTAGAAACCCACGAAAAGCAAATTCACCAGCAGGATGCCTCTTGTAAAGGAAGCATTCTTAAAACTCCGACCTTTTCTCCTTGCCGGCTCACACGAGGAGCCATTGTTCCGGCTTGTCTGACCATTATACACCCCAAAAATAACAGGAGTACTCGTACACTATACACTGATACATCTTATAAAGAGCAAACTCAAGAAAGAAAAGGCACCAGAACCCCTGTCAAAACCCTGATGCTGAAATATAAAATAAGATAAACTCCCAAGTTTTGATACTCCGTCTTCCCACGTTAACATAAACCAGAAGACATGGTTCGCATCTATTCTCCATCTATCATTGCATCGAGGTCATTTCTTTCACTTTCGAGAGATTCTGCTGTCACGGTTTCTGTTGTATTGTTGTTGTCGTCCTTCTTCTTGCCATCTTCGCCATCTTCTTGATTCGTCATTTCTTTGAACATTTGATCAACGCTCCCCTCATCCCGCCTGGAAGTCTCATCAACGTCGATTGGGGTGATTGAGCGTCTGGTCTTGCTTATTGAACCTCGCTTAGGGGCCCAGACATCTGGACCCCATATTTGCTCTGCGTCTTGCCGGCCCCTGTCTGTACGTCCGAGTATTTCAAGAGCCCTGCTCTTATCGATATCGCTGTCTAGGTCAACCTCCTCTTCTGGCAGGCCTCGAAGTAGCCGGTCTTCCAAGCTTGCAGCCAAATTGTCAGTAAAAACGGGGCCCCTGGAGCCGAGGATCCCGGGCTGCAGGCCGCTATCCACATCCATATGGTTGGTTCTGGTCTGCTTCTCGCTGGATGAGACACCAGCGTGACTCAGATGTCCGCGTGGGGAGGTGCCCGAGTCGGCGTTTCCGCCTGATCCCATATAGAATGTCGGCCCACCATATGCAGAGCTGCTAGACGGGGGCAACAGTTGTCCACTAGGATTTTGTGCTGCCGCTGCAGCCGCTTCAGCATTTGCCGCTTTGCGTCGTAAGCTGTTCGCTTTTCCTTTGGCATGCTCAGGTAAGTCGTCGGGGTTGTCTACACCGTACTCGGCCAACATCTTCTGTAGCTTAGTAGGACGTGGTTTGCGTGTGCTAAGAGAGACCTCGAGAATGGGCGGCGGCTCCGGAGCGACAGGACACCACTTGTGCAACTCCTGACGAAAGAAATTGGTCTCGTATGAGAGGAGTACTTCGGCGCCTTCAAGTTTTCGAAGAAAGAACCGCTGTGTCTCCACCTCGGCTTCAGTCGAAAGGAGTGGATGACATAGCCGTGCAATATGGTCGCGGAAGTATTGCGCATTGTCAATAATGCGGTTTAGCACATCCTCCTCCTCCGGCTGAAATGGCAATTGAGGAATCTCATCCGTTAGATTAATAAGGTCCTCCAGCTTTGGGCGGGCTGCGTCGCGAGGAATCTTCATTCGCCAATCGCAAATTGGGCATGTGTACTTGTCGTCTTCCTTGACCTTGCCACGGGCAATCTTTAAGCACTTATAATGATACCTATAAACATAGAAATTAGAACAGTTGCACAAAGCAATCAAATCACGTTAAGTACTCACCACTCATGGCACAGCTCGCACTCAATCATCATACCAGCCTCGACCTTTCGACAAATGCAAAAAACTTGTCTCGTGCGATCATCGAAACGGTTCCCCGTCTGTTCAGGGGTTACCTCGCGAGAAACTGGCTCAGCAGGCTGGCGTGGTGTGTCGTTGTCCACGTCAAAGCAATCCGTATTGCGTTCCAGGACATACTCAAGATGGCTTTTCAGAATATGGAGAGGGGCATTCGATTTTCCGAACAATTTCTTTCCCCTACGCATCCAATCTTCATGGCGCTTACGCTCATTTTCTAGGTCAATTGTGCCGGTTGGTTTCGAGTTAAGCTCATCAACGTTCCTTATGATGTCCACGACCTCTGCATACTTGGGCCTCTTCCTGAAATTGGTGTTCCGACAGCGCTCAGTGATGTCCATAATCTGGCGATGTGCCTCGCGCTGCTTATGCAGGATTCTATCGACTTCGGCAAGGGTTTCCTGAGACACGGGGAGGGCGTTTGCTTGAACTTGGTTGGAAAGAGCCTCGAGCTGCGGGTAGTGCACGACGGCGGCGTGGATTAGCTCCTTTGCCTTGGCTTCCCAAGTCTCTCCAGCGAGCTTTTGGTCAGAATAAAACTTGAGATGGTCGTTATAACTGGGGACCTCAAGTCGCTTGCCATCTTCAATGAGCTCGGTAACATCTTTCAAGGACAAAAACAAGCCGCGGCTAGACCTAGCTTTCTGATTCCACCGCATCTGCTCCAGGACCCTGGAGAGACGATCGACTTCAGGGGTGTCCACATTGAAGCTCCGGCCTTCCTCAAGCAACTCTTCGATAGTCTCCATTGAGACGGTAGCTGTATTTTCGAGGGTACGGGCTGCGTTGAGCTGAAATTCCTTTATGGCTGTAGCTCGCTCCTGCAGTTGCCCGATTTCGGGACATTCAAATCCAATGTGCTCTGCCTCACGAAGCAGGCGATAAATGTTGCTCACATTGCGGGACTCACGCTCTTTTTGGTCTTGATATGCGCTTCCGATTGATTTGCGCATGCCGCTCTGCCACGCCTTTTCGTTCTTGCGACGGTTTTGCTGTTTGCGTACAATATAGTTCGTAGCCTCTTCAACCCAATCGTTGCATCGATCGACGAATTCTTTTAAAATGAGTAGGGACGGAAGATCGAAGGGGACCCGTTCGCCTTCATGGAGTAGGGCTCGAAGAGATTTTAGCGACGGGCTGGTTTCTTCATCAAGCATTTTGGCGTACTTTTCTTCCCACAGTTCCGGCGTCCGCGCTTTATCAACGACCTTTTCATACGTCTCCGCCATGGTCTCGTCAGTGACTCTGTAAATCAAGGCGTGGTCTTCGCCAGCGAAACGTTGCTCTTCGGCAAGGTCGCAACATGGGTGGTGCCCTGCATGCATGATGCAGACGGTTTTGCCGGTCCGTCCGCATTTGAATCTGGATAAAAATGCAAACGCTTTGCAGTAAGTACAACACTGTTCCTCCTCCTCGAGAACGTCACGCTCTTTGATTTTGAAGGTCAGGGGACAGCCACAGCCCTCTTCCCCAGGGCCGCTAATGGGACACTTGTGAGGAGAAGCTTCTATGTGTTTAGCAAGGAATTCGGCTCGTTGTTCCTGTTCGCGTTTTCGAATACAATCCAATGCAGGTCCCAGCCACTTGGCAGTCTGTATTGATAAGCCGGTTGCGGCATTTCCATCTGCAGCGGTCCATAGAAGTTCGTCGTGCGAGAAGCATGGTTGTTTCCTGAAAAGTTGTAGTCGTTCGACTCCTGCAAGTCCGAACGGTTCCCAATCAGATGGTGCGAAATTCACTGCTTCATTGAAATTGAACCCGTGATTGAATCCGGCATGGTATGCTTGGGGAAATGTAATAACAAATTGTCCGGCGCGTTGGTCAAGAGCGTAGACTCTCACACCCGCTTTCTTCAATTGTTCTGGGGTTAGCAATGTGACAAGCTGGAACAACAGATCTGGCTGCGTTTCAAACAACTCGGGAACAGCTTCCCTCATGGCGGCCTCAAACTTCTCTGCGTCCTCTCCCGGAATGCCGTACCACGTCTTCGTTGCTCCAAAGTGCTGGTAGTTGGCGGAGTAGGCATAATGATCCTCGTTATGCCAGCAGAAAGTGGAAAATATCATGCCTACGTATACCCAAGGCACGGTCATGCCGGAAATGTCTGACTTGATGTGACGGAAGAGGCTCTCAGGATGAAGGGGCAGAATGTTGAGATTCCATGGATCAGAGGCATACGGGTTGTTTGGGTTCTTCTCCAGGGTCGGAAAACCCGAACCATGCGTAGTACAATGAATATCTGCACCATATTCCACTTCCACGGTTTCTTCCAGGTCTGCAACCAGCCTCCAGAACTCAGTTTCAACATCTTCCTCGGTGACAGGCCGAAGGCAGTTAAGCGTGTGATCGAATGGCATCTTCTTTTCAAAATATCCCTGCTTGAAGTCATTTGCTTTTTGTTGAAACTGTTTCAGCGAGTAAAGACCGCCCTCTTCGAAGCCAAACTGGCCATCGCCCACGAGACACCTCGGGCAATTCCACTCTGCATCAGGCTTGCGCTTCACTGGAGGGTCCAGACAGGGTCCATGATAAGCATTATCACATGATTCGCAGACGAGAAGAGCTCCGTTACTCTCTCCACGGCCGCAATTTTCACACCTCTCTCCTGCAGTCATGGTCTCGTCCTTTGGAATTCGTGGAATGGATGGCCGGAAAGGTGTCATGTGAGACCCAGCAACTGTGGGCACGGGTTCCCGTTTGAGGCGCTTGCTACGCCTGCTGCTGCTTTCACCATCTTCCATGTCAGTGTCTACATCTTTCTTGGTCGTGTCGCTCGAGTCTCCAACTTGACGTTTGACGGAGGCAGCCGGATTCAGGCCAGACCGGGCGTCAGGTGTATTGCTAGCAGAGGCCGCCGGGCTACCCAGTCGCTTGAGATCCGGTGTGAAGCTTCTGCTCTCACTATTGGCAGATTTCGAGGCAGCGTTCACTGGAGTGAATCCGTTGGTATTGATGGCCTTGAAACCCCCCGTCGCAGCAGATGTGGGAGCTGGTGGAGGGGCATCAAGCATGGGAGTGTCGCGGTCAGCCTCTCTTTTCAAGCCATTTAAACTTCCCTGCAAGACATCTGAAGCCTGTCTGGCTGGTGAGTCGCCCTTCGCACTGGATGGAGTGTTCACGTGAGACTTCTTGGCTGGTGTGTGCGCCGGGCTAGGAGTCAATGGTCCTCCGTATTCTTGTTCTAGCTGTTGATGCACACCTGGCTTGGCAAGTCGTAGGTATTCCTCGTAGGGGCAAAGCCATCGCTGATATGAATTTTTCAGGGAAGTTGAAAGCGATGACATAATCTTGCCACTGTAGCCTAAATCTCGTCCAATTTCTGCCCATTTCTTCAATTTGCAGACCTTATCAAAGCCGCCGCGGGATTCGACGGCCTTTTTCAAGCGGTACAAGTCTAGTGGTTTTTTATCGACATATGGCAATCGGTGTAAATTGCTGCCTTGCTGTTTGTGAAATTTGGAGAGGCCATCAAGATAGGTGAGGCTGGCTCGAGTGCCTACAAAAGTTAGATAACATGGTTCTGCGATCGATTTCATGGCCCCTGACTTACTGCCTTCTACAGAATTAAGCTCCTGCTTTCGAGTTCGGAAATGAAATTTCTATGGGCAATGTTAGTTTTGTGAGTCGGCACATGCCATCCGCTAGGGTAGGATTAGTTCCGATCGACGTACCTCTGTGTCAATGGCAAAATCAGGGTTCCACGAGTCTGGCGGGATAATCTTGCATATACCATACTGCGAGGCCTCTGGCGTGATCTTCTTCATATACTCCAAGGGATCCCGCCACTCCTCTTCGGTCGGACAGTAGGTAGGGGCTTCGGATATGCCATGCGGGCGTGACTTTTTCTGAAGAGACTCGCGCACCGCCGTCGGCTGGCCGCGGCGTTCGACCGAGGTGAGATCCAGTCCTATGCTGGCCATAGAGCTCAGAGGGATCTGCGAATTGGCGGGATGGTAGCCATTCGTGTTCACTTTACGCTTCGGTCTTGACGATGCCTGGGTCGCCGACGATCCGGTGGCAGGCGAATTGCGAGAACTGACATTGGCGCTATTTACACCGGGGGTTGTCATTGTGGCCGTCGACATTGGTGCCATGGTTGAGTCCAAGGGGGCCCGAGGAGGGTGATGATCGGGCCAGTAGCCGGTGTGGAGGCACACGCGAGGAGGGAGACAGATAAAAAATGGTTTCGCTTGAATATGGATTCGTGTGAATAGAGGAATGTTCCGTAGTCGTTGCTCAAGCGGCGTGCCTATGAGTGACTAACTGCGTGCATCGTAGCGATGGCGACATGTACTCGACAGGCGTATCGATTACAAGTTTACGCTGTAGCATGCAGGAACAAGTCGGCTCCGAAAGAGATGAAGGAAATAATTGGATTCGGTCGATGGAAGACAAGGCGAAAAATAGCCTCGGGGCGTACCTGCACAGTCGTGATTAACTCGTGGGCCACGAATTGGAAAAAAGGTTCAAGCCGACACACACGATCACTGATACGCCTCGCACTAATACAAAATCATGCGACTTACGGTTATAAGAGACCGAACAAGCGGAAAGCTCGCATGCGAGGAATAAAATTAGCGACGGAAGGCACCCCTAGGGCAGAGTAAAGACCGGCGGTTGGAGTCGAGAAATCATGTGGCCTCGTGGGTCGTGGGTCAAGTGTAGATGTTGGTGTGAAAGGGAAGACGGCAGAACGAGGGATGGGTCGCGGTTCCAGATGCAGTCTGAGGGTGTGTGTGAGAGCGAGAGAGAGCGAGAGGCTTGAGGTTAACGACCTTGGGGCCGGGCTGGGGCTGCACCTGCCCGTCTTTCCTGCTGGGGAGCAGAGCGGAAGGACCAGCCAGTCGACGACTCAGTCAACTAGACCACCAGGCAAGCCAGGGCTGTGATGGCTCAAGTCCGGTGCGCACACCTTATCGGCGATACAAGTATCTGTTACACCAGTTCCGTCCTATTTTGTGTGTGACTCAAGGTATCCATACTCGGTCATGCTTGGTCTGGATATAAAGTGGACCCGCGCCGGAGGATTGGAAGACCCGCTTTTGTGAAGCCGATGAGAGCGGCGATTCTCTCACCTCGCCGTCGCAGGCTTACATGACACATGTTCCGCATCTTGCTATTCGCTTTGATCCATCAGGACGAATGTGCAAAGGTGGTGATGACGGAGGGGATTGAACCAAGGGAAATATCGTACGCAAATGTACGTCATTGCGACATGCTGTCTGCGCCATGCATTTATTATCCTACGGCTATGTTGGCCTACCGTCCCATGAACCGCTCGGCCCGCCCATCCACTTGCCTCAGACCTATCATGCACAATCTGGGGAATAAATAGTACATGCATATGTCAATATTTTACTAGTAGTACTAGTATCCGCATGCCCCGTCTGCAAATGACCAGGCTACTTGATATTCTATGGCAAGAATCCCGAGTTGGCTGGTATTTCGACGCAGCAGCAGCAGATTGGCATTGCTACCACCACCAGCACCTCTTTCGCCCAAGAGCTGAGAGTTCTCGTTGTCGCCTGATCAAAAGTCAATCACCTCGGAGGCGCCGCCCAGCCAATTCGGCGATGCAGACCTTGGACGTCGCGTGTGTTCTTGCTTGACTACACAGACGCATGAGCCCCGACACAAAATGCTCAAAATGCTATATTGCAGCTATCTTCTTCGCCTTCTCTGCCGCCTTGACCAGTTTCTGAACATCCTTGTTTCCACGCACACGCAAACTCAGTTCCTTCACCATATCACCCCATCTGACAGGCGCCCCACATGACGGGCATGAGCATCGATCAGGTATAATGTGGGTGGTATTTTCTCCAGAGAGTGCATGCTTGCCCCAACAGTCCAAATGTCCCATGGCTTTGCATTTGTCGTTTGGACACATGCCGTGCAGGCCCTTTCCTGACTCGAGCTCTTCTGCACAGTGAACGCAGTTGCCCTCTTGCTCAAAGTTCACCACATTGTGCGCCTTGACCACATATTCCGCCATCGGGCTATAATCCACCGGCAATGCGTTAATGCCCCCCGAAGATGACGAAGAAGCAAAATCGGTAAGAATCTCAAGGCCGTCTCGACTAGGTTCCCGCGTGGCTTGTATCCTAGACTCCCATGCAGTATAGGCTTCCCTTGCAAGAAAATGCACATTCAGTGGCCACCTCACAAAACTCGGCACACCCGTAAGCAGGTGGATGTTCGACATGATCGACTTCAAGCTGTGCAGTGGCCGTCTTGGCATGCCATTCTTCTTTCTTCGTGTTGAAATGCTTACACGTGTTTCATCCGGGATATGTAAAGAAAGATGGGGATTTGTCAACGCCCACCTGATGGGATGGTCAGCAGAAAGTGCGTGGTATATGCAAGATTCTCTGCTCTCGATGAAGAATCGGGCCAGGGTGGAAGCTGTGTAGGGAAAGACAAGCCTTACTCGAATTTGAGCGCCGCAACCATACTAGGAAACCCAGAAACCAAGACAATCATTTCCCAAGGGCGCAGATTATCACGCGATGTGCGCGCCGCGCCACCTTTAGACTCGCCATTGTGTTGCTTCAGACGACGTGGAGGGTTCGGTGTCGAGCCAATGTACAGAGACGCGTGTCTTACGGTTGAGCGAAGGACGTAGACCGTGTATAACGCCGGAAGAGGCTTTGCGATATGACTCATGTCTGGCGATAAGCAATCTTGAACATCATGGCATTTTAGGGCGCCGCATGTCTAAGTTCTTAATGATGCCCTGGTCGTGGTGTCTGCTTTCTTAACTGCTGCAAATGGCCAAACTAACTCGACTCTGTTGTCAGGGGTCTGGATGCCTGAGGAGCTTCCGCGTGGGCCAATAGGAGTTGTCGCTTGCCGCCGCCGGCACCATTCTCCCCCAACGCGTGAGAACAACTCTCAGCGAGCAACAAACACCGTGCATACGTCAGACGCCATCAGAGTGCTTGTGGTACACGCAGTAATTCGACCTTTAAGAATGGCCCAATGCTGAGGGAAATTGGACTGGACTGTACAATGCTGAATTCGAGGCGACCTCTGGCGTATCGACAATACATAAGTATGCACCATCACGTTGAATCACGCCAATCCTAACTATGCACACCTTAAAAAAAATCGTGCGATTCTACAGCCTTCTTTTCTCTGGACCGCCTATCTACTCCGGCAAAAATCAGGATTGCCAAGACCCGGTCATTCATCCCTTGGCATTTGCAGTTTGACACGGAGCAACGCTCGAATTTCTTCTGGCGACTTGGACACCAGAGCATGATACCCGTGTTGGCTCAGCGGGTAGAGTACTGCATTCTCATCCTTCTTCACCGCATCTTCCGTTGACTGCGGCGAATGGCTCATGATTATATCAATATCCTGCCGAATCTGCTCGCAGAAGCCCTCGAGCGGCAAATCGTTTACGTCGTCTCCAAAGGGATTCTCAATTTCCCGCCCAATAAGGGCAAGCCCCAGGATGATGTATGCCGCGAAAATCGTTGCGGGGATTGTTGTCCACTTGAGATTGTCGACAAGCTGGAACGGCAGGATAAGGATGTACGCCCATGTTATTTGGGCAATGGCAATCGAGTAAGCCAGCGGCAACGGGGTGTTGAGGATTCGCTCTGTTCCGTTGAGAATGTCGTTGACTTGTGCCAACAATCCCATGGCTGACGTGTGACAGCCCGGCGTCTTGAGCGTCCCGTTGTCGATAATGGCCTGGATAAACGCCGAGCAAGAGCTGTGAATTTCCAGCGGCACATTGCCCAACGGCTTGGCCGGGTTCTTCATGAGTCTTCGAGGATTCTGCTCTGCCATGGGAAACCCGAGGAACAGGCCTATTGTCTCCCATCTGGTAGGTTTCTCCCACTCTTTCTTCTCGGCCTCGTGTGCCACTATCGGCAAATGCCCGGTCCTGCTTTGCAGGTCGTCGTAGTGCGTGAATGGCTCGTGGCGTAGTCGGTGCTTCAAGGCGAAGCTGAGTGAAACCAGCATGTTGCAAAATGTAACTTTGGCCAGTAGGTCTTCCGTCTGGCACTCCTCACGCTCGCTCGCATGGACCCAGACAAGTCTTGCCAGACTTTGCGTCACACTGGCTAGCTGAGACCAGTACTTGCGCCCCTCGTTGTATCTCTCGTAGGCAGTTGAGTTTCGGAAAGATAGCGACAGACCGACGACGAAACCGAGAACTGTGAGAAGAACCTGACTCACGCCGACTGCACACCATTAGCCTTTATTCTTTTTGCCCTTGAAGAGACACATGGCTACATACTATGATAAACTCGACGCGAAATTATCGTAACACAGCTTGCCCAGGCAGCCACAAACAAGAGGGGGAATATCATGTATGGCAGGATACTTCCCCGAAGCCGCAGGAAATGAGGCCACCTCGAGTGATGATTAAGGTCTCGAGGCCCATACTATTCCATATTAGCCTATACATGTCTCAATTTGCCCATCTTCCAAAAATTAAAATAAAACAGTAGAGTTGTACTCACAAACAAGCCCTCAAACTTATCATCCTCAATCTGTGCATTGTGATGCGAGCCACTACCGGGCGAATCGTTCGCCTTGTCCGCCATCGAGTCCAGTTCAATCCCAACAACAGAATCGCCCAAAGAACCGTTCCTCGATGGGAGCAACTTCCTCTCAGAACCTGGAGACATGCCCCCTTTTAACAACGGCCGTAATGGGCTGTGTCAATGAAAAAACTGCCTCGACACCGTGGGGAAGGTGAAGAAGGAAACTACACCGCGTATTTTAATTAATACGTTCCATGGGATCGACGCCGGGCAGCACAGCCATCGGAAATCTGCCGAGCGTCAACTATGTCAACAAGAAACCCTGCAGCATAAGGTCGAGTCACGATGGAGTCAATACTCCCCCCCTGCGGCAGTGCCCGCATAATAGGACCATGGACGATATGTGATCAACGACAAGTGCCGGGTGAGTTGTCCAGGGATCGCCCATTCCGATCCTTTGCACGGGTCTTGATCATTTATTTTGCGCCCTCCTCAGGTCTATCGTAAATTCTGATGTATCGTTCTATCGACCAGGGAAATTGTTGATCGTCCGTTGTCAAAGTGGGTAA